GTGTTTGCTGGGACATCGAAGCAAGGACAAAGCAGCCTGTGAGGCAGAACAGCCAACAGAAAACGCAACCCCAGAAGCCAGGGGGCGACAGAATTCAGGAATTAAGAGAGACCAGCTGTGTCACAGGCTGCTGAGGGTAGATGGGAAAAACTGAGAACTGACCACTGATTCAGCAACATGGAGGTCATGGTGATCTTGTTAAGAGTGGGTTCGTGAGTTTGTGGAAAGGGATGCTTGGAAACTGGAAACTTTTAGAAGAAAATATAAAAGCATATCACTATAACTTTGTGGAAGGGAAGAATTTCTTCTGCAAGACATAAAAAGAATAAACTGCAAGAGACTGTTGATAAATTTGAATACAGATTAAAGTTTAAAATTTCTATACAAGAAAACACACCATGGAGACAATTAAAATTCAGCAAATGAGAGAAGCTATTTGAATACACATAACTGTCAAGTGATTGTAACAATTAATAAAAGCAATAATAACAGCTTACAATTACAGAGGGCTTATCTGCTAATCGCGGTTCAACACATTTTATATGTATCAACTTATTAATATCTAGAACAATCTTTCTCTACAGGGTCCTGTGAGAGAAATAAGCCCTATAAAACAATTTGAGCCCAGCTGGCATAGCTCGGTGACTGAGCATCAACCTATGAACCAGGAGGTCACGGTTCAATTCTTGGTCAGGGCACATACCTAGGTTGCGGGCTTGATCCCCAGTGTGGGGCGTGCAGAAGGCAACTGATCGATGATTTTCTCTCATCATTGTTGTTTCTATCTTTCTCTCTCTCCCTTCCTCTCTGAAATCAATAATAATATATTTTTTAAAAAATGAAAGAGACAAATTTAACAAAATGTGTTGTCTCATCGCAAAAACATTTGCTGAGAGAAAGTGAAGACATATTAATGCAGCTGAGGTTCCCAGTCTCTACAATTATGTGAGCCAATTCCTTAAAATAGAGAGATGATAGATTGATAATAGATAGATAATAGGTAGGTAGGTAGATAGATAATAGATAGATAGATGATAGATAATAGATGATGATGATGATAGATAGATAGATGATAGATAGATAGATAGATAGATAGATAGATAGATAGATAGATAGATAATAGATAGATAATAGGTAGATAGATAGATAGATAGATCGATAGATAGAATCTCCTAAGGGACCAGCCACTTCCAATGTAATGGTGCCTTCCAGTTAATCCTGCAGGGAGTGGCTGCCCAGCAGCTGTTGTGTTCTCTTAGCTAGGTGCCTTTTGTTTTAAGTGGTGAGCCTTAACCTTCTGGGGATGGGGAGGGGAAGAACTCAACTAGGCACGTGATAAATGTGCTTATGTTTATCGGATTCCTTCAACATACCAGTGAAAGGGCGAGGACCACGCCCTCCATCTTACCGTGTCCTCCATTTGGGGGCAAATATGTGCTCAGGAAAGCACCTTCTTCCCGGAAGCCCAGGCCTCTGCTGGCCACGCCTAGGATTTCTTTAAACTAACCAATGACAATCCAGGGATGTGTGCACCATAGAGATGACCACATCCTATGTAATAAGACCCGGCTTGCGCCTGGCCAATCGGCAGGGCCCACAGTCCCCTCACTCCACCCCCTATTAAAACCCTGAGTTTCCCACGCCATCGCACTCTGCTTCCGGTCACTGCGCTGGCCTGGAGCGGAGTCGGGCTGGCTAGCTCAATAAAAGGACCTTCTGCTTTTGCATCGAACTGGCTGGCTCCTAGTGTGGTCTTTGGGGATCTTGAGATCTGGGCATAACAACCAGGTTTAACCGAAACCATCTCATTTCATCTTCCCCACAAATCTGAGATAAGGTCTCTCATCATCATCTCCAATCTACATAAGAGGAAACTGAGGCTCAGGGAGGCTTGAGTAACTTGCTAACCTCACATCAACTAATGGAAAATAGGAAGAGGGCAGAGCCAACATGTGAACTCAGGTGCGCTGACCACTGCACGACTGCCTCTTGCACAAAGGATGTGACGGCCAGCACGGTGTGGGCGTGAGAGTCATTGTCAAGAACGCCAGGCCGTTTCCTGTTGTACTCAGAACCACTCGCTGAGAGTCAGCAACACAGACACGGGGTCGGTCAGTCACGTTAACCATCCTCCCCTCACTCCCTCCAACCTTGTGACTGTACAATGGCTCCTGAAATAGCTCCCCAAGTTCAAGGCCACGTCTCTTGCAGAAGCCTTGCCTCTCTTACGTAGAACAAGGGGCAAACCCAGATCTTCCACCAGGGCATATGCCCCATGTGTGCTGGCACTCGTTGCAGTGATCACTGGGAAATCCCGAGTGCCAGCCTCCAACCCAGCTCCCTTCAGTGCTGAGACACCGCAGAATCAATGTCCAGTGAGAGTCTCTGGACCAGGCTTACTGCTGTCCTTCCCAGCTCGGTTTTCTCCTCTGGAACAACGTCTCACAACTTAGTCAATAAAATGAAAGGGCTGCACATGTACTGGGGGCAGGGACCAGACCTCCTAATTCTTTAGCATTTCAGAGTCTGGGTGTGAGAACCCAACCAGGGTGGCCAAAAGATAAGCACTTGGATGAAATGAGAGGATAAACATAAAAGAACCCTGAGACCTAAAGACGTGTAATTTTGTACCCAAAGAATTTAGAACCCCAGGTCTAACACAAAATCTGGTTCCAATTGGGAAAATCCTAAGAAGCTTTGCTAATTTTTACGCGAGAAAAACCTGGAAAGCAGCCATGCTGGCCACTGGGAGGGACAGCCTAGGGACAGGCAGCAGTCGGTAACCTGCTACTTCTCAGCCCAGCTACTCTGAGCAGCAGCTGGACGGGGACCTGGGGTCAGGTTACAGGGAGTCAGGAGATAACCAGCAGGTAGCCTTTCTCAGAAACTGCCCTGCAGACTCCCAGCAGGAAGGGGAATCGGGGAGGTGGCAGCCATCAGCCCCTGAGGCAGGGGAGAGAAATGAACCCTGGCCTGCTCAGCCCAGCATCCCCCCTGGGGCCCTGCACCCAGCAGAAGAGTGGCTTCCCTCCATCCAGAGCTGAGCAAAACTCACTCTGTTCAGTCCCAGAGCTTTTGGCAGCCCGCTGCCAGGAGAAAGTGGGGGAGGGGGACAGGAGGAGGAGAGGGCACTGTATACACTGAAACTCAAGTTCTCTGCGGGCCACTGGCCACTGAACAGGCGTATGGCCCAGCCACTGGCCTGTGTCTACCCCACCCCGTGCCCAAGCTCTGAGGTTCCTCACCAACATTACTATTAAACCTTTTAAACTTTTGCCAATCTCGCTGTTTAATTTGCATTGATGCCGTTTACTAGTGAGGTCAAACTCCTTTCCACGTG